GGTTTCGTTTTAATTTCAGTTAAATTTGGCTTTAATGGTTAACATAGTATCTCTACAAAAAAATTTTAAAATTACTTTGTATTATTATGTTTCACCTTTCATTTTTCTTTGATAATATTTAAGGAAAAGATAAAATTTTCTTTATTTTGTACATGTAGTTGGTTATAGGTGAATGGTAATTTTCATTTTTTAGTGTAGAAGACCACTACTTATAAATAATGTCAAATTTTAATTTCTATAATATCTCTGATTGCTATCATAATTTTAATTGGTTATTAAGAATTGTATCATGTGGGCTATTTTATCCCTTAACTAAGAATTACATCCTGTAAATGACTAGAATTAATTTGGGTACAAATGCAATAATTAATTTCATTGAAAATTATCTATTAGCATAGGATCATAAACTCTAACCATATCTTCATAATACAAATGACTAGAATTTGGTATGTTAATTATTTAAAATATCTTCACTAATAAAAATTTAACTGAATTGGTATATAGTACCCACTAAGTTATCAATCTTGATTTACAATAGTATAAACCTTTGTAATGTGCAATTAATCTTTAATATGCAAAAAAAAAAATCTTTAAAACATCTTAGTTTTATTGGTTAATTTATATTAATATTTTGTAATAATGATTTTATTTGAAACTAAAATCTATGAGTAATCACATAAATATTAGGTAATTTTTATAAATTTAAGGCATGTGATTTTAGTTTTTATAATAAAAACCTTATTCTCCTTTTGCATGTTATAACTCTAGCAAAATCCATCTTCTTCAATGTTTTTAAGTTAAAGATGTAATTTGATATTTTAATTTTCTTCTTTTATAATTTTGCAATTGGCCCCCCCAAGGATAAATTCCTAGCTCCGCCACTAGTCTATTATATGATGAATTACGCAATAAGAGATGGTCATATTTCTTTTTCAAATTCCTCCCTACTTATTTTAAGATTTAAACTTAAAAGTTTTTAATATAAATATTTAAATTTTTAATTACATGATCGTTCACTAGGGACAAAAACTTAATGAAAATATATAAGAACAAGCTTTGACAAAAAGGAAAAAGTGGGGAAGGAAAGTAAGGATTGAAATAGGAAACATTATTGCAGTCAGAGCACTTGCATTAGCACTTAAATAGCATTGTGGGTAGGAAAAGAAAAGGCAGCATCAATGCACTATCGATGATCAAATAAAAAAAATTATCTAAGAATCCAAGTGGTCCAACGGGAGTTGGAAGCCTTTCTCTACTCCTCCCCACTTAAATATCTAAACAATATCTTTTTAATGTGATGATATATTTTTGCTTTTGAGGGTTAATGATGATATCTAAACCATTTGTTTTTTAAAATGATGATGTTTATTTTTGGTAAATTTGAAAATATGCTCCAAACCATCAAAGTTAGCTCGAAATTTTGCCTTTGAAATCTACATAAGTAATCATAAGCCTTTAATGCGGATTGCAAAATACTTGTTTAGAATTGCTATGAGTGATTATGTTTTTGAGTATTTTATTATTATAAACATTAAATTATTATTTGACAGTTACTTTAAAAAAAGTGATATACACAAGAACAGAGCCAGAGCTAGTATTTTATTTGTATTTTTTAGACTAATTTTATTCTAAATGATTTTAAAAATAAATATTTATATTATTTTAATACATTTAGAGGAATTAAATTTTTGTAGATTGATCATAAGAGTTAAATTTAAATTTAAGTTAGGTCAAAACGATATTTATTAATGAATCAAATTCTTAGAGTTAAGCTGTCAAAAAAAATTTTCTTTACTGAAAAATGACATTCATTCAAAAATAATCCATGAGGCCATGAGGGTGACTCATAGTCTTACAAGTTGCCAAGCTTGTAACGTACCGACAATCGGACTACACAATAGAACCCTTGCTACAAGCTGTCTTCCCACCCTAGACCGTATTTGCTTAGAGGATCAATTTTAATAGAAAATTAAGTTTTTATTGAAAAAATAGTTAAGAAAATATTATACAAAAAATTTTGTAGTGAAATTTTGTTAGAATTTTTTTAGGATATTAATTCTATTATATTTGATAAGAAATTGATATAGACAAAATTAATAAAAAAAGTTATTAAGTGGACCTAATATAGAGATAACTATAGGAAAATTTTTTCCATTCAAAATAAATGTGAAGAAAAAGCTTATGAGTTAGAAATTGTATTAAGAAAAATAAAGATTTAAAGCGTTAATTTTATTCTATTTTTATTGTATTAATATTAATATGCGAAAATACATAATTAACCTTATAAAGGGGAAAATTTAGGGAATTTTTAGAGGAAAATTTCCCCCAACCAAACACCCCTAAATAAAATACTCACAACCAGCAAAATTTAGGATTCATTAGTCAAAAGTCAGTTATTTTCTTTTTTGGTCATCCAAAATATGAAAATAGAATGAGGAAAACCTAGGTCCAATGAAATTCAAGTCTAACTAATACTAATATCTTTTAATAAAAATCAATCTTAATACTACTAACGGTAGCCGCCTGATTTTTGGCCAGTACAGACAATAACCTACGTCTTCCTTATTAAAAAAGGGTAAATTTTTGTCCAATACAGGATCATTCGAGTTTTTGTTTTTAATTTTTTTTTTAGACAGACCACCAAGTGGTTAATTTTTTTTATTATTAAATCTTTTGGTATTTAAAAATCATATTAGATACGGATTAATTTAAAATTAAATTACATCAGATTTTATGAGGAGAAACTCTTTTAATATTTGTCTCTCCATTTATTAAATTTGAATTTGAAACTTTACTTATAAAAAATTTAATTTTTTACTTAGACTTTAAACTTTATTTAAAGAAAATTAAATTTTTTTATTTAGACTAACAGTTCATTACTCCAAATGATTCAATTCTGGTAGGGAGATAGTGGTTATTTTACTGCAATAAGAAAATGAAACAAGCTTGGGAAAAGGACTGTTCCATTTAGATTTGCCACAACACAACCCTTAACAATGCGCAAGATCGTCATTTTCCATAAGTGATAAAAGGAACCGAAAAGATAAAATTAATTATAACCTTTCAATGGAAATTTTTAAATACACTAATAACGTACACACAGCTAATCCCTTTTGTAAATAATGGTCAACCCACCTGCTCTTAATTTTTTAGATAAGAATGTCCTTTTTTTAATGAACAGTTTAGTCTTATGGTGTCATCCACTGAGAGTTGGAACTAATGGACAAGGACAAAAACTGTTGCAACAACCGAATATATCACATATTATTGAAGAAATAAAAAATATATGTATATACCAAAAAATGTATCTTAGCGTAATGAATTAGTTGTGCCATTGACAAAACCTCCCACTGTGGCTACAAATCAAGAGGAAAATGGCTCTAAATGGAACGACAGCATATTCTATGAAAGATAAAATCCTAGGTAAGAGAAAATAGTTGGTTATAAATGTAGTTAACCAATTATATGGCAATATGGTCCAGAATTCTTTTTCTTGAAAATTATCCTAGAGATATAATCGGCTATATATATTCAAAAAAATTGGTTATGTTCTTTTTTGTGTTGATATCCAATTGGATATTCTCTTCAATAACCCTCCATATTTTTCCAAAATTTTTGTATCCAGAATTTAACAATCTAGAGCGAAACTGTGTTATTTGATGCAGCTTCCTGGGCAAAACATTCAGGGACCATACCCTAAACAAACACATCTTAAGTTGTGAAACCATTTATTAGAACATGCTTTACTGCGACAATGGTTCGTGATTCAAGCTTAAGGCAAAATTGGTGACCATCGACCTTCAAGTTGTAAGTGAAATTTGTATTAGGAGGCAAAATTTTTAGGATTTTTATGTCATTTTAATGTTAAATTTTAGACAATGATACACATGATAAAATGATAAAAACACCTTTATTTAAAAATTTTCAAAATAAAAAATGAGTCACGAAATCTATTTATAATAAAGTATATGCTAAATCTTAGAGTAATCTCTCTATCAATATAAACAATTAAAATGTTTTACAAGAAATTCATTTTTCATTTTATTTCAAAACCCCTTTTTTTTTTCCAAAGTTATCAAATTTATTTGCAATTCTATTTAGGATCAAATAAGAAATATATTGTAAATTATAGAATGGTAACTAAGATCACAAGATTTTACATCATGAAATTTTAAATGTTGATAATTGATTTGTGTAAATATAAAATTATATAAATAACTTGAAATAAAAGTAACTATAATATAAATTAAAAAATTTTAGTTCATTAAACAAGTTTAAATAATGAAAAAAAAAAACTCAAGAATCTCTAATTAATAAAGAAACTAGAAAGATTAAAATGCTTTGAAATAAAGAATTTAAGGATAAAAATTATACATAAGTAAAAGTTAAAGGACTAAATTTTCATTTAAAAAAATTTTAAGGAATGCCTGGCCCCCCTCCAGCATCCGCTTTGTCTCCACTAGGGGCTATGACTCGTGATACGCTTCACACAAACATCACTGCTGATGTCTTCTTCCCCAATTTTTTTTGGGCCAAAAACACAGGACACCATCATATTCATCATCACTTCTGTTTTTTTGGATATGATGAATTGATGACATCATCGCTTAATTAAGCCAAATACTAGCCACTAATATTGAACCGACTAATAATTTATTGACTTTTTGACCTTTGGCTTCTTGTGATAATCTTATTAATTTTATTCTGGTTTGTTGCTGGGTATAATCAGTTTGTTCCTCACTAATGTTAATATCAGACTTTTTTTTCTCAAGGGCATGTTAATGTCAAAAATTAACTCCTTGAGGTTAAGTATTTGAAAAATATATAGGAGTTTAACCTA